AGCAAAGTCCTCGGACATGATTTGAAATATTCAACTAAGCATTAGAAGAGTTCGGGATGCAGAAAAGTAAAAGTGATCACACTGTATTGTACAAGTACTCTGCTTATGGGATTATTATTTTAGTAGTTTATGTTGATGACGTTATTTTTACTGGAAGCGATTTGCAGGGAATCTTATTAGTGAAATCAGATCTCCAAAATTAGTTCAACACTAAAAATCTATGCTCCTTGAAATACTTCGTAGGGTTAAGGTATCATGGAGCAATGGGGTATCTTTCTCTCTCAACAGAAATATGTTTTGAAATTTTTAGCAAAAATTGGAAAGGACTCAAACCATGCAGTACTCTGATGTTTCCTAATCAACAACTTACCAAGGATGGAGAGTCTTTTAATAATCTCGACGATATAGGAAGTTAGTGAGAAAATTAAGCTTCATAATGACTCGCCTTTACATTGTGATATCAGATTTTAATAACATCCAAATGGAAAGTGAATATTATCATTAAATTCAAATTTGAATTTACAACAGACAATTGTGAAATTTTGAAATTGAACAAAGCAAAAACATGGCGCCCAAACTAGGGTTGATTCTAGGTTGGAGGCAGTGTCGCCTAAGGGTTTGGACTTTTGGGCAAATGGCAAAGGGGTCAGCTAGTTGGTTGGAAAGGGGTGGCAGCGACGAGGGAATACAGTTGTAGCAAAGGGGGGGGTGGCGAGTAGCAAGAACAATTTTGGAGGTGTTTTTCAGGCTGACGACAATAAGGAAAGCTGAGGAAAAATAATAGGTTTGTTGTTTTCTGCGTGGCGGCAGTAATGAGAAAGCGGCGAGGGTAAAAGGAGTCAATTTGTGAAAAGGATGGGGAAGGGAATAGGAAAGTTAAATACCACCTAGAGGCCAAGATACAACTGGATCATCACTTGGAACCTTAGGATGCAACCCATAAAGGGAAACAAGATGTTGATGGTTGTCCTGAAACAAAGAAATAAAATAAAAACTAAAACACCACAAAAGTTAATATATAATACTAGGTAACTAGGAGTGGGCTTCTCTATTGAAAATAGGGGGCACTCCCTTGAGAGAGCTGGCCATCCCTTTGAAGCCCTGGACTGAACCTTTCTAGGCAACAGGTAACACCCACGACAATTGTGGATTGAATTGGTCCAAGCAATAGGGCAAGTCACTCTCGGGCCAATCTTCTGAGGTTGAGAGAGCTTCGAACTTATCTGTCAAATCTTCTGTCTTCTTATAATGTGGAGTAAGGTTAGCCATGTTGAAGGTAGTGGAAATGTTGTAATCTCTTGATAAGTCAATTTTGCAGGCTTTGTCATTCAGCTTCTTGGATCCTGAAAGGTTCATTTGTAATGGGTTTGTGTTTCCCAAAAGATCCCATGGGAATTTTTTTTCTTTAATATGATCTGCACTAGTTCTCCCTTCTAAAAAGTCTCCTTCCCGGTTTTATTTTCTTGTTCCTAGCACTTGTGGTTTTATATGGTAATCTCTTTCCTAACCTTCTCATGTAGCCTGTGAATCTCCTACACTCTAGTCTCAACATCCACAATAACCTCTATGGCAGGAAGGGGTGATACCCCACTCAAGTGGGGTGAGTGAGTTGCGCTCATACACAATCTCAAAGAGAGTATTTCTTGTAGTCTGACTCACGGATCTATTGTAAGCAAATTCAGCTTTGGCTAGAATTAAATCCCACTTTTTGATGTGCTTTTATGTAAAACACCTCAAGAGATTTCTTAAACTCCTATTCACTATCTTTGTTGGTCATCTGCCTGTGGGTGAGCCACTGAGCTAAAATGAAGTTTAGTGGCAAGCTTCCCTCATTAGGTCCTCCAAAAGTGGCTCAGGAAGTTAAAATCTATGTCAGAAGTAATGGTCTTTGGTATCCTATACAGTCTCACTATCTCCCAAAAAAGTTAGCTGCATGCGATGGATCTAGTTTCATGTGGCAAGGTACAAAATAAGCCATCCTTGAAAACTTATAAATCACTACCATCATCAAATATTTATTCTGCTGCGTCCTAGGAAGACCCACAATGAAATTCATATTAACATCCAACCATGGAGGCTCTAACACTGACAATGGAGCATATAGTCTTGTATTTCACCCTCTGATTTTTGCCATGTGACAAACTCTTCGCTGCTTGAGATACCTCCCTATATCTCTCACCAGTCTATGACAACAACAATAAGAACAAGCATTTATCCTGTTAAGTGGGGTCGGCTGCATAAATCGTTTTTCTCCATTGCGTCCTATTGAGTGTCATATTTTAATTTAATTCTAATTGATTAAGATCATTTTTTAAATATGCCCAAGTCACAATATGTCCAAGTCTTTTTAGGTCTACCTCTACTTTTCTTAACATAAGTCGAATATAAAATATCAACTCTTCTAACAGGATCATCACATAGTTGACGTTTAATGTGACCAACCATCTAAGATGACTCTCTCCTGACTCTTTCTAATCTTATCTGCCACTGGAGGTACACAAACCCTAATATAGATATATATTCATTTCGCATTTTATCTCTAATTGTCAATATGGATATATATTCATTTCGCATTTTATCTCTAATTGTCAAGCCACTCATCAACCTAAACATTCTCATCTCAGCAACACTTAACTTTATTTTATGTTTCTCTTTAAAGGTCAAAATTTTGTGCCATCAAGTATTGTAGGTCTCACCACCATCTTATAAAATTTATCTTTCAATATAATCGGTACTTTTCTATCACACAATAGGCTCAATGCATTCCTTCACTTCGATCGACCAACTTGAATTCTACTAATTACATCCCGATCTACATCACCATCATTTTGAACTATAGACCCAAGATATACAAAATGATCACACCCTTTAATGATTTGATCACTCATAGTTACAACTCTGCCACTATAACTACTACTAAAATTAACTACTACTAAAATTGCATTCCCCATCAGTCTAGGCTAGAAAAAAATATTCGCTCACAAGTGCGAGGTTGTTGTCTCTACCAAAATGACGTGCTAATTCCCCACAATGACCCTATATGATGGACACTCTCAATGAACTTCTGGGAACATACAACTTGTTATGATGGAAAATGTGGCCATCAGATCTACGACACAATCCTGTAAGCCTCTCTTGACACTGATCCCAAATCTCCTTGAAGTCCTCATTTGC